TTTCCCTCTTCCTACCCTCCGATGCAGCTCCGCATCCTCCCCCGCCGTGGAGACGGATCTGCCCAGGGGGGTTGCCCACCTGGCAGCCTGGTCTCCGCCTTTGTTTCCCGCCCGGGGTAGTGGGGAGGATGCTGGCATCGGACCCCTCCCCAGGTAAAGGGTGCAGGTGGTGGGGCGGGGGGCGTCGCGGGCGTTGGACCTGGGCTTGGGCGGAGGAGGAGGTGGCTTCAGTGCAGTGGGACCTGTCAATGGGTAAACGAAGAAAAAAAAAAAAATGTAGTGTCACTTTGGCGGAGCCGGTGGGACTCGAACTACTCTGGCGGCTGCGAGCGAAGCCGAATTCCCAGCGCAGCTGTGGAGGAGCCCTCCTGCCCAGGTGCGGAGGTGGGGGGCTGACTTGGGGGTTGGGGGGAGTGCATCGCGGTAGATCAAGGCCCGTGCTGCCTGGAGGCGGCTTCTCTGCCGGCTGGACCTGCCGGCTCTCACCCCGGAGTTTCGCTGAAATCGAACGCCTTGAGCCTCCCGAAGGAATCCAGAGATTCGTAAAGAGGCTAAAAAAAATTGCTCAAAGCTGCCGGGCCCTGGGGGAGCAGGTCTAAAGGAGAGGCTACAAAGAGGAATTACAGATACAGCGTAACTGGTGACTGGTAGATGGTGAGGAGGGAGATGCCTGCAGTGGAGCTGCAGACCAGACCATCACAATGAGATTCTTTTTCAAGAAGATAAGATTTTGGAGGAGGAGGGTGGTAGTTTCTGTACACTGAGGTTTTCCCGGGGCTGCCCGAGTGGGTAATTACTTATTTTCAGCACGTTAGTGGGATGTAGGGAGAGGGAAGGCAGGGTCTAAATTAAACCTAGTCCGAGCTCCTTAATTCTTCGACAAGTGTGTGTTTAAAGAAGACCATTTGGCTGCCAAAAGAGGTGGGGGAAGGGGAAGACCTTTAAATCATACATTGAAAAGGGGAGGGTGTGTCAGGAGCTTAAGAGCAGGTTAAACCGTGCAAACTATCCCCTGGGTCTCTCTGTTTCCCCAGACCTGCAGTAGCAAATGCTGCCGTACATCTTACAGTGAAACGAAAAGTCTCTTCTGTTTTCCACTGGTTGACTAACTTGTTCATTTGGTTATGTACCTGGTCATCTGCTCCGTAAGAAAGGGTTCGGTGAACTCATTATGAAGATTTCACGGTATTCTCGAGTTTCCGTGTAATTCAGAACTTAATCCTGGATGAGATGGACAGTCCCTCTCCTTGACTCCTGGGAGACATTCTGATACATCTTCAAAGCCTTTCATTACTCTCACTTTCCCTGTACAAAGTTGCGTCTTAAGGAAGCAATCTGATTTCCAAACATTTAAAACGCACCGCCATGCTTGTGAAATGTCCACACTTGCTAAGATATCAGTGGACTCGGTAAACTGCAATAATTTTTTTTTCAAGAGAGAGCACTTAAATGTGTTAGGGTCTCTCTACCACTTCCATGGATGAAAACAAAAAGAAAAAACTGTTAGGGGGCTCAAATGCAGGATTATCAGCTGCAGCACATCAACTTTTCCTGGTTTTCTGAGATAAGTGAAAGAACAAATTTCTGCAAAGCTCATTTGGAATCGCACAAATGACCCTAGTTAAGTGACAAATAGGTTGTTACCTAAACGATTGGAACACAAACCAGATTGCTGGAAATAATTTAAAACTTTCTCAGTGTTTTTGTTTTGTTTTGTTTTTAAGCTGATATGCAGTGGAAAGAGAAGGAATTCTTAGGATGAGATTGGTGGCATAGTTTGAAAGGGTATATGCTTTTATTTTCAGAGGGAAAAAAACTGTCATTTTTGTTACATAAACTACACAAAGGGCATGAGGTGTTGACGTTTAGCCTGTGGAAGGGAGGCAGGGATTTTGAAAAGGATGAGAAGCATTGATTCGGTTATGCAAGGGACAGCACAAAAATAGGCAGGCTTCGTCCATCTAGCAATATACCTCTGTGACCTGTAGGACAAGGTTTTCTTCTCTGCTTCCATAAAAGCCCACAACAAAATCATTCTGTGTCTGTCCCCTGAGTCAGGGACAGGGAGGGTGCAGAGCAAGTGAGAGATTAGAGTCAGACCTGCGTGCCTAAGCAGTCGTGTCCTTTGAGGAGGATCTGTGTCACATTGTGTAAGTCTACGAGCCTTCACACTGGGAGGACTTCCTTAGGATGCGCACTATAAGGTAGAGCCGGATAACGATGCCACAGGTGGGAGTGTTGGAGAAAGAGGAGAGCTAGGAAACCCTCTGTTCAGTGGGGCTCTGTGCTGGCCTTCTGAGCCTTGAGGGATTTCCAGCAGAGCTGCCTCCTTACTGGCTAGCCTGGCCGGGCTACGTGTGGCTTTCACAGGACCTGCCATTCACACGATGTAGGCTTCTGTGGAAGTGGCATGTCTCAGACTGTAGGCGTCCGTGATGCTCGCAACGTGCCCTGGAAAAGAAAGGCTCGCGAAGACCTAAATCCAGGCCGCGTTCTTCCAGGCCCTTGGCGGCTCAGATCACCCACAGGCTTCCAGAAAGCCAGCCGTATCCTCCCTGCCAGTAGATGGCACTGCTGCCTCTGGGAATTCCTGGAGGAGCGGGCAGCAGTGCGGGCAGCCCGGCAGTGTGTGGCCTCCCGTCCAGAAGCAGCTGAAAGGCTGTGTCTGCTCTCAGGTGGAGAAAGTGGTTCTGAAAGCCGTGCTGTTTATACAAGGTTGAAGCCGTGTGTGTGGTGGGGATGGAGGGTGGTTGTGTTTCCTTTGTGTGTGTGTGTGTGTTTCCCAGGGCAGACAGAGAGAGTCAATTTCAAAAGCACTTGGCATCCGAGTCGGGGGTCGGGGGTCATGACGTTGAACTCGTGGTTCGGTCGAAATTTCCAACAGCTTCATCGTTCCTAAGTGTTTGCACAGGACGCTAGTCTGCACACATGGATGGGACTATGGGACTCTACGTGTGACTTTTAAACCTGATCATAATTGCATGCTCTGAAAATGGCAGTGAGGGTATGAGTAAAAATCATGCTGGTAAAGTAGTCGCTACATTTCAGGGCTGTCCACAGACAAGGGGTCAGAGTTAGTCTGAATCAGTTTCCTCTGAAACTTGAAAATTCCTGACAAGTCTTTTAAGACTTTCTTAGCTAATGCTGACCTTTTTTTTCTTTTTTTAGAGACAGGGTCTCACTATGTTGCCCAGGCTGTTCTCAAACTCCTGGCCTTAAGCAATCCTCCTGCCTCGGATTCCCAAAGTTCTGGGATGACAGGCATGAGCAACCCCAAATTTGAACTTTGGTTTCATTGGCCGTATAAGTTGGGATATATTCACCCATCCACCTATTTTGAAATAACTGGGTTTTTGTTCTTTGACTGTTATTGAGAACAGTAGTCTTTGAGATGGATATTGTGGAGATGGTTTTGGAGGTGGTACGTTTTCCACCTGCTTCCTGTGTAGTTCCCATCCTATGGTCAGTTTATTTGAGATTTATTTATCTCTCTCTTCAAATGAACCAATGCTGAATCCTAAAATTTTGCTGGTACAACAGTCTGTTGATGTTTCCTCATCCTGAGACCAAAAAGATATCTCTTCACCTTTTGGAACCTTCTCTTTCCGATTTGTTCACTGGGATTGGTGAGATGCTGAGTGTCTCTTAAAATCTCTGCTAAGTCTATGACTAAATTATTCTCATAAGGTATTTCTGAAGCCTCCAGAAATAGTCATTTAGAAGATATTTTCATACTGTGAGCTTTAGAGCAAAAAGAAATCTTGTTAATGTTTCTTCCCAAATAAATTGTCATACATTTTCTTAGAATCCTAACAGTTCAGAGTAGGAAAAAAACCCTTGAAGATGGTTTAACTTAGCCTTCGCAATTTATGAGCAGAGAATTTTAACTCAGAGCTGAATGATTCTGCCAAACTAATAGAGCTAGTTAGTGGCAGAGAACTAATTAGAAGACTAGGACCCCACCTCAGGACTCAATACAGTCTTTCCTTTTCCAGAGCTGTCTTCTCTCATCTGCCATCAGACCACAGAATATGCTGTGTCTACAGGGCTGGGGCCAAGAACATTCTCTGAGTAATTCCTTAATGTAGGACTTTAAAGCCTTAGCATGAATAGCTTTTTTTTTGGCAGAAATTCAAGGTCAGGCTTTTCTTTGCAGCTCATTCTTTTCTTCACTGACTGACTTCATGGACAGGTTTTGTGTTCTTTGGGGTATTCATTTATTTATTTTGAGTCTCACTCTGTTGCCCAGGCTGGAGGGTAGTGGCATAATCACGGCTTATGACAGCCTTGGGACCTTCTGCGCTCAGGCAGTCTTCCCCCCTCAGCTAATTTCTAAATTTTTTAAAACAAGGTCTGACTATGTTGTCCAGGCGAGTCTTGAACTCCTGGGCTCAAGTGATCCTCCCTCTGTAGTCTCCCAAAGTCCTGGAATTACGGTGTGAACCACCACGCCCAGCTCATCTTAGGGTTGTTTAAACTTTTCTGCATATACTGTTTCTTGCAAGAAAAAACTTTTATCCTAGAAGAATCATTTCCCAGCTGTTCTTAAATTGGGTTCATGGACTCCCCGAGGTCTGTGAGAATAGGAGAGTATTTCTATTATAATTCACTATAATTCACTTCCTTTGAAATGTAATTTATCTTATCTTGCGCATTTAGCACTTATTCTGAGAAGGGGGCGGTCCTTCGTCTTCATCAGACAATGGAAGGGGTCTATGGCACAAAAACAGAGTAACAATTCTAGACTTGATTCTGGAAATTTGCGAGGATGGGAGAGTTCTTGACTGAGGAGCTAGAAGACATTTAGGTTAAAGAGTGTTGGAGGGTACAGGAGTAAACCTTTGGAAGTTCTTAGGAACATTTTTTACCTTTTAAAAAACGGCTCACTAAATGAAAATGCCAATAATAGCATTTTACCCAACTTAAATTAATAATGGATATGAAATATTGACTTCTATTGATCATTCCTTGCTTAATAAGTACTCTCTCCTAATTTCACTTTCAAATCCATGTTGCTTTATTGGCTGATGACATCCATACTAAGAGACTTCCTTCTCCCCCAATCGTATTTGATTTCCAGATGTTCAGTGCCTTCCTGATTTATGACTTGGAGTTTTTGGCTTCTTTCACTCCTGAGATACTATATCTCGTGTTCAACTATAAGCTCCTAGCACCTACCATGATCCCAGAGTTACGAAATAATTTACATGCTAGGGATTTTAAAAAATCTTTAGGTTCCTTGATTTGTACCCAGAATTTACCATGTCATGTTTGCTTTGTGCCCTGTGACACTTGCCTGCATTTGGTACCATGGTGACCCATGCTGGTGAATATCACCTTCTGGTACTTTTTTGGGTATGGATTTCATTTTAATACTTGTTCTTGCTTTAGCAGAAGAATAAAAATCACTCTTTCTTCTTTAGAAAGTTATAATTGAGTTTGTGTAATAACATAATCTATTATGTTATGTAATTTAAAAGTCACATTTTTGCATTCTAATCCCAGCACACTACTGAATTATTATGAGATTTGGGAAGTCATCATTGACTTCTCTGAGTTTGTATCCTTATCTAGGAAATAAGGAGAGAGAGTAATGACACTTAAATTCTTTTCTGTTCAAAATCCTGCGACTTTATGCAATTCTATCTGTTATTCAAATTAAACATATTCTAAAAATTCTGCCTAGTTAGGAAATTCATTTATAAAGTTGGTGCCAGGATAATAATTCTTTATACCTCCAAATCACTTTGTGGTTTATGACAATAATCTCTACTCCTTTGTCTCTTTTCTACCCAAAGCATGGCCAGAGAACAGCAGCATCGGTATCACCTGGGAACTTGTCAGAAATACAGAATCTCAGGCCTCGCGTGACCTACCACATTCAAATCTTCATTTTCTCAAGATGCCTAGAGGAAGTGCATGCACATAAAAGTCTGAAAATATCTGCTTTATTTTATTTTGAGTCTTATATTGATACTGTGAGAGAGGTGGGATATTTTACAGGTGAGGAAACTGAGATTCAGGGCAGTTAAGTAACTAAGTCAAGGTTACTGTGCTCATGTCTCAGCCAGAGCCCTCTCTTCCAAACCTGATGCTGTCTTCTTACTTGGACTGGAGTCAGCTTTGTCACTGCCCGGAAGGTCACAGGGTGAAGTGTGGCAGTGTAATTCAGTGTTAGCCCATCAGCAGAATGTGAGTGGAAGTGAAAAAGTGTTGTGATCCACTTCTAGGAAAAACAAGAGAGCATGCCCCTGAAAGCACCTCCATACTCTTTTCCATTCCCAGCTGGCTGGCATGGAGAGGCTAGACTGGAAACCCTATGAAAACCTTGAAGATAATGTTCTAAAGATGGCAGGATTTTGTCCAACTGGGGTGCCTTGTCACTGCATTAGGGCCCCTCCAGTGACTGACGCGTCTGCCTGACCAGTGTGCATGCATGAACCAGAAATAATCTTGTATTGAGCTTGAACCATTGTACATGTTTGGGTCTATGTGTTAAGCATGTACCCTCCTCTGACACACTCACTGGAGCAGCAGCTTGGGATTTGAAATTGTGGGGTCTCTGGCCTAATGCATTCATTTGTTTTGTCTTTAGCAGTTGGTGATAGTTTGGTGGTGGTCCAAGATGCAGAAGTGGGAGTGAAAAGCAGCAGAGCTGATGGGGCATGAGGATGCAAGGGCGTTTGAAGGCTTCCACACTCTCCACTCCAGGGTAAGGCAAAGGCACTCTCTGCTATTGTTCTTCTGGCAGTTCCAAGTCGTAGAGCCTTTTGTCTCACCTGTCTCATGGAGTCAATGTCTGTGACAGTCTCCCAAAGCCTGTATTGATTTCACTCATAGACACCATACAAATATGCAGTTACAAAGAGAAAACCGTGACCAAGGTGACAGATGGAATCTGGGCGTGGAAATGTCTCAGCCCAGGAATTTTTAGTGAGTTTGTGGAGGATGTGGTCTATATGGGGGGAATGTTGCACCTTCTTGAGGTGCATTGTGGAGAAGGGAGGCAGGCCTATTTGCCTCTTTCTTGTGGGCATATCATCCTGTGAGCTCTTCTGCTCATATTTCTTCACCTACCACCTTCCTTCCTCATCGATTACCCTGCTTAACTTTTCTTTCATTAGTCAGTTTTTTTATGAAGAAAATAGCTTCTCAGAGTTGAAAATTCCCAATTTGGTGGATAATAGCACCAGCAAAGCACATGGTTTAGCTCATTCCATTTAATTTTACCCAGTGTCACTGAAAGTCACATACCTGTTCACTCTTCCCTTATTTGTAGCCTCTGATGTGATGCATGCGGGCCCTAGGAACATCATAGCCAGTGCTGCCTTTGAATCTTCATTTGTGCTGGAGACTTTTGAGTCCAGGAGAGATTCACTGTTATTGTTTGGTGTGTCATACTCAAAGTCTGGGTGGAAGTCTGGGAGGTCCAGGAAGAAAGGACATCACATCCATTCTGAACGCTCCAACTTCTAGAGCTTAAACAAAAGCCAGACTCCTTGAAGAGAAAATTATGACTGGTAAAAATATAAGTAGAGCTGAGAATGTTTAGGAAAGAGGGACAGGAAGTGTTGTTGTTTTTTTTTTTAAAAAGGCACTCTGCTGAAAACAGAAGGGTTGTTTTAAGTAGCTTGGCTCTACTGTTGAATCCTTGCTAGATAACATCCTATTTCCCAGGCTCAGACAGAGGGCACCCAGAAGGGCTGATATCCTTGGGTGCCTCCCATAGTTCCATAATGAGTACAATTTACTGAATAAAATAGACAATTGGGGGCTTTAGATCTCTGGAGAGTCCCATAAACGTACATCATTATTGCTCTGCAGCGATGCATGTGCTTAGAGATAATCAAAGCAGAGAAAGGGCAACTGCAAAGCACATTGGCAACAAAAGAGTCTAGGTGAGCAGCCAGGTGCAGGCCATAGCTCAGGGTCTGGAGATTACTAAGGAAAGAAGCTGGTCTTTGCCAGGTTTTCTCATTTGAAAAAGGGAGCTGGTCTTTGCTAACTGCTCCATTTCCTCTGTGGCTCCCGTATATCCTCTTTTTTAAAAGTAATGAAAAGTATAGTATGCCAGAAACAGCACTTGACTGGCATGTCTTTGTGTAAAGACTCTACAAGGATTAAATTGTGGAGGGAGCAATTCTTTAACTATTGATCGGGGCCAAATAAAGGAATGCTAGAGATGTCAGTGGCCCTGGGTTTCTCAACCTTGCACTGTTGACACTTTGAGCCAGACACTTCTTGTCACTTTGAACCAGATGGTTCTTGTGTGGGTGGTCCTGCACCTTGTAGGATATTTATCAGTGTCCTTGGCCTCTATTTGTGAAATGCTAACAGCTCCTCCAATAATTGTGACAATCAAAAGTGTTTCCAGACATTGTCAAATGTCCCCTTGGGAACAGAATTGCCCCTGGTTGAGAACCACTGCTGAAGGAACACAGTGCTTTAATCTTGCTCCGAGTTTCTCTGGAAACATATTTTAATCATTTTCCTTCATTTTGCTTCAGTTTCCCTACCTGTGAAATACAGATGCCTTAAAAACTTAATGTTCTAAGGAAGTAATGTTCTAAGGAAGTGATGTACAAAGTACATTACTTGACTATTCGGGGGCTCTATAAATGCTAAGAAATAATACTTGTCTCCCCCAGTAACTTGGACCCAAGGATCACCCTTAATCCTTGTGAAGGAAATAACTGAGCAACAGTGTGTTTGAAGAAGGGGGAAGGTTGTTAGTGAGATGGAAAGTAGAGAACAGTTCTGGATTTTGAGTTTATTCAAAGTCATCCTGCTCTGGTTCGTTGTGACAGTATATTCTGGATGAAGACTTTCCTTGCAAAATTAAAAGAAGGGAAAGTGGATGAGGCAGAAAGAAGCCTGTTCAGAAGAGCAGTCAAGGAAATTACACTTGACAGGGTGAACTCTTAATGTTAAAGTTACTCATGTATAATTAGACCAAAGGACACAAAGAGGTAACCTCCGAAAGAAAAATTTCCTCCCAAGTGAATGCTGATCCATACCAGTTTCTGCAGGTAGCACAATCAAGACCAGAGAATGTTTGGGAAATCTGTTTTTATTCTTTACATTTGAATTTTTTTTTCTCTTCTTTAGGGATATGGAAAGGGATTATCTTCCATATGTTCCCTTTGAGTGATAAATAAAATGTTTTAATATGACGTGTGTTCTTTTGATATACTCCTGGTACTTTGTGTTGGAATGGCTTTAGGCCACACCTCTGACCTAGACCTGAAGTGATTCTAGAAAGTATCAGTTCAACTCTAAGACAGGGCCAGTCAGGGAATAGGTGGAAACCGTCCTGGCAGGTTTGCGTTCCCCCTTGCTGTGTTTCTGGTCCCTGTGATGATGAGACTTACAAAGTTTACAACAAATTACACTCGGTCTTGGATCTAATATATAGAGAAGCCATCATGGATAGTTTGCCTTGTTTATTTGCATTCTGTCATGCATTTATAGTCCTATGTGTTATGGAAAACTTGTTAGAATATTTTTAAAGGATTCTGTGTACCTGGAAGAAAGACGCACTTCAGTGTAGAAGAAAAATGTTGAGTGAAAGAAACTTCACTTTGAAAGGAGTAGGCTGGTGTTTGCTGGTTTTTATTACAGTGTTTCTCAAAAAATGTGGTACCTAAAAAACCACCAGCAGCAGCAGCAGCATTTGTATTTGTTAGGAATGTGCAGACCTACTGAATCAGAATTTCTGGGAGTGGGCCTAATAATCTGTGTTTTAACAAGACTCCCAGTGATCCTGGTGGATGCAAAAGTTTGAGAAGCACTGCTCTCTGTTAGTGGTCTCTGATGCAGTGACATCTTACAGATTGTGCCTGTGTATGTTTGTGACGGGGAAAGCACTGAAAAAGTATTTTTCCAGGTGGTTAGGATACATGTAAGATTTTCTTGTGATCATCTCTTGGGTCATTTTCTCAAACCATGGCCTAAGCCTTTCCCAACATTGTCCAATACAGTAGCCACTTAGGCACATGTGGCTATTTTTATTTAAATCAATTGCAGTTAAATTAAAATTCAGCTCTTTGTTTGCACTAGCCACATTTCAAGTGTTCTGTAGCCACACGTGGTCAGTGGCTGCTGTAGTGGACAGTGCAGATACGGAGCATGTCCATCGGCGGAGGAAGTTCTATTGGACAGCACTGCCTTAGCCTGCGAAGACCCTTAATTGTCAGAAACCCACATTTGTAGGGATGGTGTGCTCTTGTTAGAACATGACCTCGACTCATTTAAAACAGAATTGAGTTCCGGGATTCTTCGTTCTAGAGAGACTTTCAGTTTGTGAGTATATCTTGCTTAACTTTTTTTCTTGCGGTGACATCTGTCTGTTACAGAAAGTGCCATGGGTCCATCTCTGAAATAACCAAATCCATTGCCTCTGAAATATTTGCCCTTTAATCCAAGGATACTGAGCTGTTTCCCTCTGGTCTTTCCTTGCCCTGACCCTGACCATCAGTGGTGAGGCTTGTTTGTGCAAAATGTCTCTCTCAATACTGCCTAGAGCTTTACAGAGTGTCTGAAAGAGGTGGCAAGAAAATTTTCACCTCCCCTTCTTCCAAGCCCCAGCTTGGCTCAACAAAGTGTTTCATAAGCAGATTTAATTCACAGGCTTCACCTCGGAGGAATTATCCCCTGAAGAATTAGTCTCTGAAGCAAATTTTCCAACAGACATGTTATAGCACAGATTTAGTAATTAAGCCCTTTGGCAATAGGAAATAATTTTCAGTTGATATATTAATATTACCAGTATTTAGTTGCTCAGAAATTATTATAATAAGAACAAATGAAAGATGTGGAAATATACACACAATTTTTAAAAGATGCAATTTAAAGTTAACTGAGCCCAAGCTTGTTTTGTATGGTAGAAGGAATGGGAATAAGGAGTTTGTGGCAATTAGTATCATTGCTGCAGGTGAGCGGAAGGAGGTGGGTGGAACCTGGAGCAGATCCTGAAACAGCCTGAACTCTACTGATTCACTTTTGATGGGGTGCAATGCTTGTTCTCTTCCTGCCTTTCTTTGTCTTTCTTTCTCTTAAAAGACTGTATTTGGCCATTGCCTTACCAGACTCTAGTGTGGCCGTGTGCCCTTGGAGCTATGGCCGCTGCGATGTTTCCTGGCTTTGGCCTGCTTCCATACTTCGGGGAGGAGAATCACCTCTTCTCTCTCTTTAATTTACTTTCTAACTAAACTATATTTTCTAATCTTAAAGAAAGATTTTATTTACTCATTTAACTGTTTCAACGGCTTTAGGCTCAAGCAACACTGAGAGAAAGATGCAGATTTTCCACATACCTCCTACTCCTACACAGTTGTGGCCTCCCTGTTGTCAACACCACTGACCAGAAAGGTGTATTTGCTAGAACTGATGAGCTCATCTTGGGGCATCATAGTCACCCAAAGTTTGAGGCTTTCGTTAAGTTTCACTCTTGGTGTTGTACGTTCTTCGGGTTTGGACCAATGTGTAATGATATATATCCATGATTATAGTATACAGAGTACTTTTGCTGCCCTGAAAATCCTCTGTGTCTGCCTTTTCATATCCCTCCCCCTTCATTCCCCACCACATCCCTGATAACCGCTGATCTTTTTACTGTCTTCATAGTTTTGCCTTTTCCAGAATGGCATATAGTTGGAATCATACAGGATGTTGCCTTTTCAGATTGACTTCTTTCACTTAATAGTATACGTC